CCCGTCGATCTCCTTAGACACTTCATGCATGGAGCTGTGCGTGGAAGACTTCCGAGTCTGCGGGTAGTTGACATTGATCACGGAGAGCATCAAAGGACTCGCGGGGCCGGGGAAGACAGCGACTTTGGCACCGTTCGCGCACGCCACCAGCCCCGCCATGACGCTGAGGGCGTACGGGAACTCATGGTGGGATGCCCGGGTACTGTGGCGCAAAAGCACTTGCGCCGCGCGCGGCCCCAGTATGACCGCGGACTCGAATGCGCCGTCCACGATGGCCCATGAGGCCCGAATCTCCGCGCGGTACTGGAGCTTCACAGCGGAGCCGAGCACGGGCATCTCTCAAGTCACTGGAGAAGAATCACTTGCACGTTTGCCAGTAGCGGCAGGCTCACCGAAATGCTCGGGCCAAACTCTGCGAGCGCGGCCCCGAGAACATTCGCAATTATGGTTGCGATTCTGGTTATGGCTGTGGTTCTGGCTTTGGCTTTCGTTCTAACTGTGGGTCTGGCCCTAGGCCTGACTGTGGCCTAGGTCAGGCGCTGGCTCGGTTTACGAATATGATTATGGTTATGGCTCTGGTTGTAGCTGTGGCTTTGGTTATGGTTCTGGCCCTCGTTCTGGCTCTGGTTACCGTTCTGGATATGATTCTGGTTCTGGCTGTGGCTCCGGTTTCGGATCTGGTTGTGGTTATGGTTGTGGTTCTGGCTGCGGCCTACCTCTGGCTCTGGCTCTGGGTACCATTCTGGCCGCGGCTCTGGTGCTGGTTCTGGCTTTGGCTGCGGGTGAAGCTCGGTGTCTGGTTCTGGGTATGGTTCTGGCTGTGGTTATGGTTCTGGCTCTGGTTCGGGTTCCGGCTGTGGTTCTGGCTCTGGTTCTCGTTCCGGCTCTGGTTGTGGTTCAGGCTGCGGTTCTGGCTCTGGATCTAGGTCTCGTTCTGGTTCGTGCTCGGGTTCAGGCTCTGGTTATGGTTCTGTCTCTGGTTATGATTTTGCTTTGGTTCCTGTTCAAGTTGTGGCTGCCACAAGACGGTCCGAGTGAGATTCATAAGGGTTGGCACGGCGGCGGGATTTGCCGCAGGCAGCTGGTGTATGTCATGGTGAAACTGACACCTGCCCTGACGACGACCACGACGACGAGGATGAGCGAGGGAGGGATCGCAGGCGGCGTACAAAAGTGTTGCTTAATTCATCCCCTCAACAGTAGCGCTACCTGCTGCGGGTGCGCGGCTCAAACGAGACCCAAAAAGTTGCACAGTTTTTCTTCCAAGGAGGAGGATGAGGAGGAGGACGGGGTAGGAGGAGGAGGAGGAGGTACTTCTGTTAGAAGCATCGGCCAAAGCCTGAGAGCACCGCAAAACGCACGAGCGCCCTATCGCCTATGATCACATTGTCGCTTGTGTGCACCTCCGTGCCTACGATCATACAACCCGGGTGCCCTGGGCCAGGGGTCCCCGCTAGCAATCTAGTTGGCCCGTCAATATGCGGGAAACGCCACAGCTCAGACACCCTTGCTGGACACACTTCGCTTTTTTCTCTCTCGCAATGGGGCCTGCGACGCCCCGTGCAACGGGGACAAAAGGGGGACAAAAGGGGACAAAAGGGGAACAGAGGGAGCAGAGGGGGCAAAATGGGGACAAAGGGGGGGCAAAAAGAGACAACAGGGGACAAAGGGGACAGAGGGAGCAATGGGGACATTTGGAACAAACAGGGACAAAGGGGGCAGAGGGAGCAAAGTGGACACAAAGGGACACAAGGGGACAAAAGGGGACAGAGAGAGCAAAGGGGACAAAAGAGACAAAAAGGGACAAAGGGGACAGAGGGGACAGAGGGGACACAAGGAGACAAAAGGACACAAGTCGAACTTTTTCTGTACGAATCTTCACCCCTCATGGCTGCTCCGCGCCGCGGCTAAAGGATGCACCAAGAGGGCCGCTTCAAAAGGCCAAGAGGGCAGGCTCAAGCTGACAGCTGGGCCAAAAGGGCCACGCGGAGCCCCAAAAAATGATGTTCCCGTTAATTGATCCGAGAGGGCCGCCTCAAAAGACTCCGTCAAGGCTCCCTGCACCGAGGGCCTGCTGCCATGACCAAGCCAGCGCGCCGAGGCGGCTCATGCGATGAGCGCCCCCTAGCGCAGCCGAGTGACACCAAAGCCTCCTCCTCCTCCTCCTCCTCCTCCTCTCCTCCTCCTCCTCCTCCTCCTCCTCCTCCTCCTAAGGCGGCAATGTGCAACGAGTAAAAGAATGATTGTTTCGCAGTTCGCAGCCCCGAGGTCGTCTTCCATTTCTAGTTTCCGGGGGCCCCCTAGCTTCCGGGAGCCCTCTTGGCAGCTTCCGGGGAGCCCTCTTGGCAGGCCTCCCGAGGCTCTCTTGTGGCGTCTTGAGTGGCGTTCGGGCCGTCTTGGGGCCATCTTGGGCCGTCTTGGCGGCCTCGAGGGCTGCTTCAGAAGGCCTCTTGGGCCTCCTGAGGGCGTTTTGTTGCGTTTTCGGTGCCAATGCGCAAAGAGGGCAGAAGGAGCAAAGGGGACAAAATGTGATAAAAGGAGATAAAAGGGACAGAGGGAGCAAAGGGGACGAAAGGGGACAAAGGGGACAGAGGGGGCAAAGGGGACAAAAGGGGACAAAGGGGACAGAGGGAACAAAGGAGACAAAAGGGGACAAAATGATACAAAAGGGGACAGAGGGAGACAAGGGGACAAAAAGGGGGACAAAAAGGGACAAAGGGGACAGAGGGAGCAAAGGGGACAAAAGGGGACAAAGGGGACAGAGGGAACAAAGGGGACAAAAAGGGGACAAAATGATACAAAAGGGGACAGAGGGAGACAAGGGGACAAAAAGGGAGACAAAAAGGGACAAAGGGGACGGAGGGAGCAAAGGGGACAAAAGGGGAAGAAAAGGGGACAAAGGGGACAGAGTGAGCGAAGAGGAGCAAAGGGGACAAAAGGGGACACAGGGGACAGAATGAGCAAAGGGGACAAAAGGGGACAAAATGAGATAAAGGGGACAGAGGGAGCAAAGGGGACAAAAGAGGACAAGGGGGACAGAGGAAGCAAAGGGGACACAAGGGGACAAAAGGGACAGAGGGAGCAAAGGAGACAAAAGGGGACACAAAGGGGACAAAGTGGACAGAGGGAGCAAAGGGGACACAAGGGGACAAAAGGGGACAAACAGGACAGAGGGAGCAATGGGGACAAGTGGGGGCAAAAGGAGGCAAAGGGGACAGAGGGAGCAAGGGGGACAAAAGGGGAAACAAAAGGGGACAAAGGGAACAGAGGGTGCAAAGGGAACAGAAGGGGGACAGAAGGGAATAAAAATAGACAGAGGGGAGCAAAGCGGAACAACAACAAAGAGGCCAGAGGGGGCAAAGGGGACACAAGGAGACAAAATAATATAGATGGGACAGAGGAAGCAAATGGGGACAAAAGGGGACAACGGGGACAGAGGGAACAAAAGGGGGACAAAAGGGAATAAAAAAGGACAGAGGGGGGCAAAGCGGAAAAAAAAACAAAGGGGCCAGAGGGGGCAAAGGGGACAAAAGGGGACAAAAGAAGATAGATGGGACAGAGGAAGCAAAGGGGACAAAAGGGGGCAACGGGGACAGAGGGAGCAAAGGGGACGAAAGGGGACAAAGGCAGCAAAGGGGACAAAAGGGAGCAAAGGGGACAAAGGGAGCAAAGGGGACAAAAGGGGACAAAAGGCGACAAAGGGAGCAAAGGCGACAGTGAATTACTCGAAAATTGCTTGAACGTGTGATTAAACAAAGCACGCTGAAAACAATGAATTGCGCCCTGTGGCCCACGAGGCCCGTTTGGAACCGCCCGGCCCAGCCCCAAAATAGCCAACACATGCACATATTCCCCCCCCCCTCTTTAGGAGTCTCAAGAAGCTCTCTCGGGGCGGCGGTAAAAAAAACGGCGGAAAAATACAAAGACTTTCTCTTTTTGACACAGTACAGCCAGCTTTCAATGCCGCCCTTTTAGACACACCGACAAAAGAGGGACCCCAAGAGAACCCTGCAGAACCCAGCCACGAGGAGGACTGAGAACCACAGAGACCCCCCAGAAGAACCCAGAAATAAACAAAAGTATGAACCGAAAACATAATTTCCAACATCGGCAGCGTTTCCCCCTTTTGACACACGACAAAAGAGGGGCCCCAAGAGAACCCTGCAGAACCCAGCCACTAGGTGGATTGAGAACCGCTGAGAACACCCGGGAGAACCCAGAAATAAACAAACCTTGAACGGACACATAATTTTCAAAATCGGCAGCATTCCGCCCTTTTGACACACCGACAAAAGAGGGACCCCAAGAGAACCCTGCAGAAACCAGCCACTAGGTGGACTGAGAACCACAGAGAACCCCCACGAGAACCCAGAAATGAACAAACTATAGAACGAAGACGTAATTTCTAAAGTCGAGAGCATTTCCCCCTTTTGACACACCGACAGAAGAGGGACCCGAAGAGAACCCTGCAGAACCCAACCACTAGGTGGACTGAGAACCACAGAGGAGAACCCCCCGTGAACATTTTTTAAAACATCGACAGCATTCCCCCCTTTTGACACACCGACAAAAGAGGGACCCCAGGAGAACCCTGCAGAACCCAGCCACTAGGTGGACTGAGAACCACAGAGAACCCCCAGGAGAACCCAGAAATAAACAACAATTTTGAACGAACGCATAATTTTAAAAATCGACAACATTCCCCCCTTTTGACACACCGACAAAAGAGGGACCCCAAGAGAACCCTGCCGAGCCCAGCCACTAGGTGGACGGAGAACCGCAGAGAACCCCCAGGAGAACCCACAAATAATCAAAAATATTAACCGAAAACATAATTTCCAAATTCGAAAGCATTCCCCCCTTTTGACACACCGACCAAAGAGGGAACCCAAGAAAACCCTGCCGAACCCAGCCACTAGGTGGACTGAGAACCACTGAGAACTGAGGCGGCGGAGAGCGAAAGCGAGGGACGAGCGATTGTTACCACAGACGGACCTCTTCTAGGCAGCCGCCTGCCCGTTGCCCTTGCCGGGGCCCTTGCCCCTCTGGCCCCCGTCTGGGTCCGTGCCCTTGCCCGGGCTTGCGCCTCCCTGGCCGTGGTTCTGGCCCGCGGTCTTGGCCTTCTGCTCGGCCTCCCTGCGCGCCGCGGCAGCTGCCTTCGCGCGGGCAGCCTGGTCCCGCTCCGCCTGCAGCAGCCCCTTCTGGTAGCCGACGTCGTGGTTGAGCTTGTTCTGGGGAAAGGGGGGGCGAAACATATTCTCACTGCATGCCCGCGGGGTGGAATGTGTGTTCGCGCGACCCGCGCTCCTCCGCCTGCCGCAGGGCAGCCTGGGCAGCCTCCGTCTTCTCGCGCTCCCTGCGGAGCTCCTCCTCCTTCACAAAGAGCGCCGTCTTGTGCCTCGCCTTTTCCCCGTTCAGCTCCAGCTCAGCCAGCCTCTTGCTGCCTGCAGGAAGGGAGCCGGAAAAAGAGCAGTTCGCCGCGGACACCGCGGGCGCCGCATCGTTCACAGTAGCGCGAACATTGCTCCGCCGCCAGCAGGCGGACCTGCTAGCGTCGAAGAAAGCGCTACTGTGCGCGCTGGGAGTCCGCGTAGCAACTACTCTCGTTTCGTGTCACTTTCATTCCCCCGCTATGCCTCTCAGAGCTGCGTTCCACAACTGCTGGTAGGCAGAGTGGTAGGTCCTGGCGTCCCCGTTCGCCGCCCCGAGAGGCGGCCCCTCCCGCAGGGCAGCCTCGAGGCGCTCCTGCTGGTGGCGGAGGGCGGGGCCGGTGTCCACCGCCAGGGTTGCTGAGAGCATCGCGGCAGCCGCCTCGCCGGTGCTTCCCGTCGCCGCCGCCGCTGGCGCCGCCGGCGCCTCCGCCGCCGCCGCAGCTGGCTGCGCCAGTGGTGCTGGCGAAGGCGCCGCGGGCGCTGGCCCCGCGGCGCTGCTCGAGCTGCTACTCGAGCTGCTCGAGCTGGAGCTTGAGCTGCTGCTGGACCCGCGGGTTTTTGGGGCGCGGGCCGCTGGCGGTCCCGCGGGCTTGGGCTTCGCCGCGGACCTTGGCGCCGCCGCCGCTGCCACCGCCGCCGAAGGCGGCGGCCTCGCCTGGAGCGCGGGTGGTGCTGGGGCATGCGGCGGCTTCGCCTGAGGCGCGGGTGCTGCTGGTTTCGCCGCGGGCCTGGCCGCCGCCACCGCCGCCGCAGGCGGCGGCTTCGCCTGAGGCGCAGGTGCAGGTGCACGCTTCGGCGCCGGCGGTGGCGGGTCTGCGCGCGCTGCTGGGGCAGCCGGGCGGGGCGCGGGCTGGGCGGCCACCTCTGGTGCTGGCGCTGGCGCGGGAGTCTTTTTGGGACGCCCGGGCTTCCTCCGGGCGGCGGCCGCCTCAGCGCGCCCAGGCAGCTGCAGGCACCGATCTGGGCCTTTTTTGCCACAGATGTTGCAAATGGACTTTTCGCGCGGCATGCTGACGGACGCTGCTACAATATCTAACCCAAGGGCGAATTGAGCCCGAGAGTTGCATAAATAAAACGAGGAAGGAGGATTACAAGGTCCAAATGGTTCCAAAACCATTTCAGTCTATGCTAGACGGATGGGGGAGGGTAGGGAGGAGGAAGAGGTTTTATTGACATAAAACGAGAGGGTGGAGAAGGAACTCGACGCGACAAAACCCGTACCCTCCTCCTCCTCCTCGCCCTCCCCTCCAAAACTGCTCTCCTCCTCCTCCTCCCCCTCCTCCCCCTCCTCCTTCCGTCCTCCTCCTCCTCCTGTTCCTTACTCTTTCCCTCGGTCCTTTCCTCCTCCTCCTCCTCCTCCTCCTCCTCCTCCTCCTCCTCGGGGTTCACTGTGAGGGGATTTGCCTCACCCTCGAAGGACCCTGACATCTCAGCAGGTGTGTCCACGGACGCTCTATCCTGCGAGCTGTATTCGCACTTCAACTGCGGATGTTGTGGGAAGCGGGTCATCGCAACAGTCTCCTCGCGCGGGCAGTCTGGAACGGCATGCTTGGCTTGCCAGCGACGCGCCCAAGACGGCTCCAAGAGGGGGTCCAAACGGGAGACCCGTACGGATATTTCAAGCCCTCGGCCCCGAGAGCCCCCCAGGAGCATCCGAGAGGCTCCCGAAAGGCTCCCAAGAGGCCCCAAGAGACCCCAAAAGGCCCCAAGAAGCTCCCAAGAAGCCCTCAGGAGGCCCCCACGAGCCCCCACGAGGCCCCCAAGCGGCCCCAGGAGGCCTCCAAAATGCCCCGTCCCAAGCACGCAACCAAGTGCCAGCGATGCCACAATATGGGCCGGCGGAATGAGCGAAGCGATTGAATGAAAAATCACGTCGTGCAGCAGCCTTCGTCCTCGTCCTCGTCCTCGTCCTCGTCCTCCTCCTTCCTCCTCCTCCTCCTCCTCCTCCTCCTCATCCTCCTCCTCCTCCTCCTCCTCCTCCTCCTCCTCCTCCTCCTCCTCCTCCTCCTCCTCCTCCCCCCACCCCCATCCTCCCCCGCCGACCGCTCCGCCTTTCGCTGCCGCTCCGACCCGGCCGCCGGGCGTGCCCAACCTGCCCGGCCTGCCCGGCGTGCCTGGCGTTCCCGGCGTGCCCGGCGTTCCCGGCGTGTCCGGCGTTCCCGGCGTGCTCGGCGTTCCCGGCGTTCCCGGGGTTCCCGGCGTGCCCGGCGTTCCCGGCGTGCCCGGCGTTCCCGGCGTGCCCGGTGTTCCTGGCGTGCCCGGCGTTCCCGGCGTCCCCGACGTTCCCGGCGTTCCCGGCGTTCCCGGCCGGCGTTCCCGGCCGGCGCTCCCGGCGTTCCCGGCCGGCCTCCCGGCGTTCCCGGGGCTCCCGGCGTTCCCGGCGCTCCCTGCGCGCCCGGCGCTCCCGGGCCCAGGTTCCACCCCTTATGGGAGAATGGACGACGAGGAGGTGGAGGGGGAGAAGGAATATCTGGGAATGAGGAGAACAATGTCCGAGAAGGAAGAGGAGGCGGAGGACATAGCAGACCATCCTTTTCCTCCCCCTCCTCCTCCTGGTTGTTCCTCATCATCATATCGTAAAAAAAACATACAGCTACTGTAGGGACATGCCAATACCATCAAAGACGCGTTCATACATTTCATATAAATTTCAGACAAACGTATTACAAACGTCTGGCAAACGTCTGGCGAACGTATGATAAACTTCTGGCAAACTTCAGGCAAACTTCTGGCAAACTTCAGACAAACTTCTGGCAAACGTCTTGTAAACTTCTGGCAAACTTCAGGCAAACTTCTGGCAAGCTTCTGGCCACCACGCGCGCATCGTTCGCAAAGATGGGGCGCATATAGGGAGGGGTAGATCTCAAGATGGGTAGCGAACACTATGAGAAAATGGGTAGCGATGATCTCATAGATGGGTACCGCGAAAGTGGCAACCGCATGCTACGGAGCCCCATCTTAAGGCCCGGAACCGGGAGATGGGTCGCGCCCCATCTCTGCGATCTGCGCCCCATCTTTTTGGGTACTGGAGCATCTGGGTCGGCATGCACCCTGCATCGACCTTGCGCAGAGTGGGGTAGGGAGGAGAAGGCTTCTAATCAGGAGGGGAAAAAACATAAACACAATTCATCGTCGATTCCCAGGAGCATATGCGAAACTATGGGAAGTGGAGGGGGAGGCAGAAGCCCAGAACATATGCGAACAGATCGGGGACCCTGGGATTTGTGTGTGTGTGTGTCTTGATGTGTGTGGGCCCCTTCTTCTTAGCAGCACCCCTGCTTTTTCAGAGAGCGCGGGCCTAGTCTGCAGATGCAGGGCCGCCGCCTCCTCAGAAGCAGCCTCCTGCTAAGGAGCCTTCCCCCCTCCGCCCTACCCCCCTTGTCAGGGCTCGTTTCGATTCCTCCGATTCGATTCGATTCGATTTCGGTGGATTCCGATTCCGATTCGATCGAGGCCGCCGAGCCCCAACCGAGAAAGAAAACCAGACTGCACGAGCACGAACCTTCGGCGCTCCGCGGGGCCCCTCTGGCGGCGCTCCCCTGGCGCCGCTCCTGGCGGGGGCCTGGCGGCGCGCCTCCTGGCGCCGCTCCCGGCGCGCACCGCGCGCCGGGGCCGGTCCAAGAGATTTGGGCGGAGCTCTGAACGTCAAACGACGCGAAGATTCACCACCCACCAAACCACCCCAACCCAACCCGAAGGCTCAGATTTACCCTCGATTTCTAGTGGGGGGGGGGGGGTCCGGGAACATCGAAAAAACACATATGGAGCCCATACCCACCCCAACCCGAAATTCGAGTCTTCGGGTTGGGTTGGGGTGGTCTGGTAGGTAGTCAAAGATCGGGACAGAATCGGATCGGGATAACTCGAAGTCTCTGAGAATCGGCGGGTTTGGAGGATGCATTGGGCGCCGCGGCCGCTCCAGAGCGTTCCGGAACGCTCCGAGAGCGCTCCGGAGTGCTCTGGAGTGATTTGTCCCGATCCTGGCCCTGTTTTAGAACGTTCTTGTTTACGCATCTTCGTTTTTTCCCGAGGAAGGAAGCCAGGAAGGACAACATACCGATACCGCGACTCGTCCTGGAGACCCCCGCGTCGGCACGGCTGGAATCTCTTCGCATTTCTAGACGGAACGCACCCCGGGGGGCCCAGCGCGGTTCCAAGAGATCCGCGCGGATTGTCAAAAGTCTCTGTGTGTGCCGTGGTTTGCCTCTCTCTCTCTCTCTCTGGGTTTCCCGCCTCGCGTCTGCGGCTGCTGGCGGCTGCATGCCGTGGCTGCCAGGCCCTACAGGGTCCCTGTGCTCCCTGGGGCTGCAGCCTCGTGAGGACCACTCGAAGCCAACACTGCGCCAAATCAGGAGCGACAAACGGACGTACATGAATCCACGCTGGTTTCGAGAGTACGCATTGCGCAAATGTTCGTATAACGCGGCCGGTCTCGCGGATCGAGGGGCCGTGTTCATGTACATAGTTGGGCTCCCTAGCCAAATCCTCCCTTTTCTCCCTAGCCAAATCCTCCCTAGCCAAATCCTCCCTAGCCAAATCCTCCCTTTTCTCCCCCGTTTCTCTGCTCCCCGGGCCTCCCTGCAGGCATCTCGTCGCCGTCGTCGGGCTCTCCCCCACCCTTCCCTAGGCAGCCTCTTGGCTGGGGAGTGCGCTCCCGGCTTCGGCCGCTGGCGGCTCCTGTCGGGGGCGGAACAGAGGGGGGTGATGACTAGGGGGGGGGATATCATGGCGGGGGCCATGATTTTTCCCCAGATCTCGTGGCGCCTCTTCTTGTTTCATCACGCCCCTGGCCCCCCCGCTGGGCCGCACACATGCCGCCAGTCATGATTTGCACCCCCCCCCTCTTGGACACCCCCCTCCCCAGACCCCCGACGTCATGATTTTTTCATTTTGTCGACCCCCAGAGGTCCCGACCCTTTCCCCATGACCGGTTTTTCATCCTGAATCGTTTTTTGACGCTCCCGAGGCCCGGTGAGGGCCCCCGGAGGCCGAAAATTAGGAAAAGTCGAGGGGGTCTGGGTCTTGGCCGCTCCCGATCCTGGCCCCCGGCCTGCGACCCCGGGCCTCCAGCCCTGCCCGGGAGTCGGGGCGTCGGAGGCCGAGAGGTGGGCGCTTGGCACCGAGATCGGCGGCTGCCTCCACGGAGGGCACAGGAATCCGGGCCTTGGCGACGGTGGCAATTCAGAAGGGAAACATAGCACACAGACGCGATGAATCGTCGATCCCCTGGAAGGTATGCGAAAAGTATGGGACGTGTTGGGGAAACCTGGGAATGGAAAAAGATGAGGGAAGATTGGGAGTCCTACTATCTGTGTGTCTTTATCTGTGTGTCCCAGGGCCCCTTCAGTAATGATTGGGCTTCTCAGGTGGCCCAGAGATTAGCACCAGCACCAAGATCGAGAACAATGGGATCGGCAGCGGAACCCGAGGACAATGGGACTGGCAGCCGTTTCGGTTGACCTTGTTTTTACAATCTGTTCATAGACCCGGTTTCCGCCTTAGTGTCGGCTATACTGTTGGTCCGAATGCTTAGTACCAAGCGCCACATGTATGCATGTATACAACGATTCAGATATTCATACGCGTTGAAATGTGTACATGTGTATGTATGTATGTATATATGTATGTATGTATGCATGTATGCATGTATGTGCGTTTGTATGTATGTATGCATGCAAGTATGTATGTGTGTATGCATGTATGTATGTATGCATGAATGTATGTATGTGTGTATGTATGTATATGTGTATGTATGTGTGTGTATGTATGTATGTATGTATGTATGTATGTATGTATGTAGGTAGGTAGGTAGGTAGGTAGGTAGGTAGGTAGGTAGGTAGGTAGGTAGGTAGTAGGTAGGTAGGTAGGTAGGTAGGTAGGTAGGTAGGTAGGTAGGTAGGTAGGTAGGTAGGTAGGTAGGTAGGTAGGTATGTGTGTATGGATGTATGGATGTATGGATGTATGTATGTATATATGTATGACTCGATGGATGGATGGATGGATGGATGGATGGATGGATGGATGGATGGATGGATCAAGGTACACCCGGTTGCCACTATGGTGTTTTGCTGTTGTGGTTGTAATGTGTTATCAGTACACCTGTATTTGCGTGATTCTTCATCCTTTGCGACCGACAGGCATCTTGCCCCACAAAGCCATCGGTGGTTTGCAAGGGCCGTTTGCTCGGTTCTCGTTCCGGGCGCCCCCGCAGGCGCCAGAGCATCGGCAGCGAGGACATGTGCGTGTGACCTTCTCTGCGGAGGTGTACAGAGGGCGAGCTGCAGAGGGGCAGCGCTGCGCGTTGGAGCCGGCCGGCATGGGGGTTGAGGTGGCCCAGCACTGGCTGCCAGCAGGAAGGGGGGGCAAAAGGGATTCCTCGTCGCCTCGGCGGAGAACGGCCAGCAAAAACCAGCCAGGTTCGACCCCGGGAGGGGTCTAGGGTTTCTTTGGGCCCATGCAGCGGAGACCTACAGAGGGGGGGCGGCTTGCAACCCTAGCACCGTCGGCTCCCCAGCATGGCTTTCTGCGGTGGCTTCGTTTCTCGCTGGGCTGTCGTTGAGTGACACCTTCAGGGGCAACGTTAAGGGGGACAGGCTCAAGGAGGGAACTCATCGACCCCCGATAGGCCCACCCCATCCCGCCCAGGAGCGTGTGGAATCGTTGTCTGGGACCTGTCGCCGATCCATCGGCGACGTCTCGCCGTTTCCAGGTCGAAGATTCCCCCCGGGAGCTGTTCCCCCCCTAACGCTGCCAATCACACTCGGACTGGGGCCCCGTGTTCTTTTGCATGGTATTTCGCCCCTCTCTCCCCCAAATTTACACCCAAAAAGTGTCATTTTTTCATATTTCCGCAAAATTGGAGATAAAAATGAAATTGTAAGCATCAACCGCATGTATTTGTGTTGTTTCTAACCCCCCCTCCGGCCCTACGTCACTTCAGGTAGGTCTGTGCCGACAAAGCGTGCACTGCAAAGGAGTCCTGGCGTGCGCGAGGTCCAGATTTCCTTCCGGGCCTCGCCGCGCCCCTCTCTCTGTTCAAGTTCCTTCGCCAGGGTGTTTGTTGCGTAAAAAGCAGTGCCTCCCATTCGCCCCCTCACCGCCCCAAGCAGCGCAGCGCTACTGGGGGGTGGCGTGCCTGTGCAGTTGGATGTGGGCGGTGGGATGGATGGACGGCTATGTGGGGTCCCTGGATGCCCGAGGAGTCGTTAGATGTCCGGACGGTCGAAGGAGTAAACTTGCGTAACCATTATGTAGGAAACCCCATCGCCGATCCGAGGAGTCCGCCTGGACCTCCCATCGGTTATGCTTATGCAGTTCTTTCAATTTCGACATCGATCTAAGGAAACATGTGGGCTCCTTCTAGGAAACTTGGAGGAATCCTGAGGGAGTCTCGAGGGGTCCTCCCTAGAGGCTCTGGCGGTCCTGTGAAATCGTGAGATGTCCCCAGGAATACATCTTCGATTCGATTTCTTGACGCTTCGCGGACCAACATCAAGCCACCCAGCAGCGATGCCCAGGCGAGTTGCACCGATCAGGGAAGCGCGGGAGAACGCACCGAACAGAGGCGGGGCAGCCGTCAAGCCGAAGATGGGAATCTGACCGAGGCACGGCCCGGGAGGCAGCAAGCATGGATGCAGTCGCGGATCCTCTGGTATTGGAGGATCTCGGCAGCCTACATGGGCCATCTTGGTGCTTACTGGGGCCATGCTGGATGCCTTTGGATCCCTGGTGGAACCTCTCTGGGCTCTTCGGGGTTTTGTGGACCCTGGAGGCCATCGTGGGGCCATAGTGAAGGAAATAGGTCACATCAGGGGGTCCTTAATTTCTGTTGCCCCTCTTGAGCCCCAAACGTTGTCTCTTGGAGCCCTCTTGGGGCGCTCTTTGGGCGCTCTTGAGCGCTCTCAGGGCTGCCCGGGTGACTTCTTGGGCCTCTTCTGAGGCCCTCTGGGCCACATTGGATCCATCCTGAGGCTTTCACAGCCCATCAGGAACTAAAGGATAGAAAGCAAACTAGATGGATTTGGGGTCTACTGGGCTTCGAGTTTAGGGTTTCAGGAACGAGCGCGCCCTGTGGCCATTCGAGGCTGTCTGTGAAGTGTTTAGGAGCATCTGCGGGGAGATGGGTTGGCCATCTTAAGCCATATTGGGTTTTGTTTGAGCAGCCTTTGAGACAATCCTGGTCTCTTTGAGGCCATCTTGAAACCATGTTGTCCCATCAGCCTCCCAAGGTTGTCCCCGAGATGCCGATGTGAAACAAGCAATGGTCGTTCAATGATGTTGGCTGTGAGCAGTCGGGGGGGTCTCTAATCGGCCTGCCCCTGTGCGCTCTCTTGGAGCGCTCCTCGGCGCTCTTGTGGCCGCCTTGGAAATCTCTTGGGGCCATCTTGGGCCATCTTCTTGGAGCCATCTTGAGCCTTCCGAAACCCATCGAAAGAAGCGAAAAGCCCAGAAGGCAGCCCAGACTTGTTCCCTATTCTTTGGAAGGTCATTGTTGGAGGCTGTCTTGGAGCAGTCTTGTTGCCCCTGGGAGGCATCCTGAAGGCCATCTGAAATCATGAAGGAAATCTGGGTTGCCATCTTGGGCTATCCGGGGCCATCTTGAAGCCATCGTGGGCCATATTGGTCGCTTACCGCGGGGCGCCCCGTCTAGACCCAGATGACGTGGGAGCGGGTGGGATCAGTTCTTTCCCGAAGGGGAAGATAGAGGTTGGACGAGGGAGCGCACTATCCACCTCAGCCCTGACCGGCTGGTGGGCGGGATTCCGGGTGAATCTTGCGGAGATTTTGCGGACCCCTTGAAGAATCAACGGGATACCTGTTTGGATGTTTCAAGGGATCTGGATATCCGGCGGGATCGTCACAGATCTTGTGAGGTCTGAGAAATATGTACACATTGCTTTTTTTGATTTTCCAGTTCCTTGAATATTGAGGAATCTGGAATGATGCGTAATCTTACGACCATGATAGAAGCAGAACCTCTGAATATTGAGAACATCTGACCAGGGTTTGTGAATACGCCGTATCAGGAATTGGGAGATCTTCAGCAAACCAGTCAGGGTCTTACATAATGGCTCTGGATGAATCTCAAGGACGACTGAGGAGTCCTAGAAGATTCATGCGACACTCTCCGATAACATTGGGAATCGTGTGGTGTCCACAGTCATCCAGGAGATTTAAGGAGCCCAGATAAATTTGAAAGGACCAGCATGGGTGCCTCAGGCAAGATCAGCAACCCTTATTTGGAAGCCTTGTTGTGGAATACTGCGGATCCCCCACTGAATTTTTATACATCTTTTTAGATCCCATGAAGATACTGCGGATACCATCGGGAATCTTTGTGCGACAGTTCGAAGGGATGCTCAACTCGGTGCTGTGCATCTTGAATACGAGCTTACAGGAACACATACCGATCCACATTGATGGTTGCCGGCGTGGATCCCAAGCAGTAAGTTATCGGATGGTGGACGCGTGCGCTATTCGAGGCAAGGTACGCGGTGCAAGTTGTGGAATACATGTGGTGTAGGTTCTGTGATGCAAGTTATATGTTGCAAGCCATTTGTTGCAAGCGATTTAGGGCAAGTTATTCGATACAAGCTACGAGGTGAAAGCTATACGGTGTAGGATGAGTGGTGCATTATATGTGGTCTACCCTGTGTGGTGCAAGATGTGTGGTGTAAGCCATGTGGTAGAAGCTATGTGGTGCAAGCAAAGGGTAAAAAGCAATGTAGTGCAATCAACGCGGCCGCCCAGCGGACGAGGCGGCCACGTGGATTCCTCTTGGGGGTCTCGAGTTCTCCTCCGTGCCTTTGGGCACATCCTTGGACCATCGTGGCATTTCTGGAGACCCATCGGAGGCCGAGAAGTCGCGCGGGCGCGCAGCGCAGAACCTCGGGCCGTGCGATTGTTCTGTCCTCTCGGGAGCGTCCTGGAGAGGCTTATCGGCCACCTCAGAGCCATAACTGTGCTCCGGGTAGCCTGTAGGCAGGCAACATGCAGCCGGGCTGTTCGGGATGCCTTGAAGGCAGGCTGGGTGCCATTTTGATCACATTGCGGTGTGTTTCGCCACATTGCAGGCACACGGGAGCATATCAAGCGATTTCTTGGATCATTTTGGAGCGAGTTTTAGCTGTCTTTGACGCTCCGACTGCTGGCGACCGCCCCCCTTCAGACACCCATGGAGCGGTACCAAAGGTGACGCAGCGTTGTTTTCAAGGCCAGGCGCTCTAAACTACCTACGGCCAGAGGGCTGACGGGATTTCCACCTTGAGTCGGAGGTTACGCAAACCCGCAGCCTCGCGAGAACACGTAGTCTGCTGATTTTCTAGTTCCCATTTGTGAATTATGATCAGGCGAATTTTATCGAGCCTTATTTGCGGTGCTTCTCGTTTGCTTTCTCAGTGTCTCTGAGATCCCAATGCTGTAATATTGATACAAGGTGGCGAGGGGAGGGGAGGTGAGGCGAGTTGAGGTGCCGTGAGGCAGTCTAGGAAGATGTGATATGTGACCAGGCGGGAGACAGGGGAGCTGAACTGATATAATATGGGTGGGCAGTGTGAGACACCTCTTGCAATATTGAAGCGATGAGGAGGATGCGACTCGTGGTGTTTGGGGCTACTGCGGGCGTGCCGGCGCGGATGGAGGGGCACTTGGATGTGGTGGTTGTTGTTTCGACTATGGGTTTCAAATGCAGGTCTCCATCAACACCCCATCGCCCTTCTGTTGACAGTTGACAGTTCGAATTGACACGGCGCGCTCTGCGTGATTATTTGGCCACTAAGTTTACATAAGTGCTTTGCCGTTGAGCCAGCAATAGCATGCCGTTGCGCCCGTAGTGTTGTTTGGGCCATTCTCTCCGTGGCAAGCGAACCTCCCGCCTCGAGGTTGCCCTATAGCTTCGATTTCGGCGCGGAGCGGCCGCGGAAAAGTATCGCCTCGCTGGTCTGCCAACGTGCTTTCTGCCATCCCTAAGGGTCCAGATCTTCATAGACGGGGAAGAGAATGCCGAAGGGAAAGGAGCGCCATAAACATAGACTTTTGGCGTTCCTCTCGTGTTTCTTGGATCCGCGCTGGGCCTCCCTGGGAGCGCCTCCAGCCGTGCCCCTGGCGCGCTCCGCGCGGATCCAAGAAATCTGCTCGGAGCGCCAAAAGTTTTCGTTCATGGCTATTTGGCGTTTCTTCTTCCCGAATCGCAACCGCTTGGCTGAGGGAGCCGCCCCTGGCGTCCTCCCTCTCCCCCCCCCGCGGTGGT